CCCGTCATGGTATTCTAAGGAAAGGACTCATCAAAAGGAATTGGTTTCTATACAAACTATAAGTGTACCACAATATTGTTGGTGAAAATTTAACTTAATTGGTATAACATTCATAATTGAGTTGACTTCACATGAGGTACTTATTTTGCATCTATGCTGGGAATGCATCTTATACTGAGGTTGCCATATTCTTTTGTGTTTTCGAAGGTCTAAGTAAAAAGGTACGTCATGAGCAAGAAAAGGAAGCCATTTTGTGATCTATCCGATAGACAAAAATGGAGACTAGTGGAAAGAGAGATGAATCCTAACACAGCCATTTGTTCGCGTGCCACTGTTTCAGTCCCAACTCCAAACCATATAATGGAGAAAACATCTCCAATTCCGGTGGACAATTACGTTATAGACCAGGGCTGCGATACCGCTACTTGGTTGGGTTCTGCATCATCAATAGGTTAGCAATAATTTACATGACAAAAAACATCAAAACTTCCTGCTTTAGGTGAACATAGTACAGGCACTAGTTTGCCAGCTGCTCATTCCCAGGCTAATTCGGTAAACTCGGAAACATTCAGTGTTTATGTAAAAGATATTGAAACTAACACATATGATAGTTCTAGTGGTTTACAAGAAGATCTGAGAACATGGGTTATCAAGTATTCACAAATACCCAGAACTGCAGTGAATGATTTGCTGGCTTTGCTAAGAAGGAATGGTCACTGTGATTTACCAAACGATTCCAGAACATTATTGAGTACACCCAGAAACTCAGCCAATTTTATCGAAACATTTAGTTCAGGTCGTTACGCACACTTTGGAGTGTATGAGCAATTGAAAGACTCTATCGTGAAACACTACCCTAAAAACCAATACCCTACTGAAGTGAATCTACTTATAAACATAGATGGGCTACCACTGTCAAAGAGTTCAGCTATTCAATTTTGGCCTATACTATGTGCTATCCTTTCTAGTGAATTCTACACAACCCCATTCCCTATAGGAATTTTTGAAGGAAATACGAAACCAGATGACGTAAACCAATTTTTAAAAAAATTTGTAGACGAAACCAATACCATTCTACAGTCGGGTATAATTTTAGATCATAAAACCATTGTGGTAAAACTGCACGCTATTGTATGTGATGCTCCAGCCAAGGCGTACGTATGTGGTATAAAAAACCATACAGGCTATTTTGGTTGTCCCAAATGTATTCAACAAGGCGAATTCATTGAAAATAGGGTTGTGTTTACCGAGACAAGTTCAAGTGAGAGAACTGATGCATCATTTAAAAACAGAATTCACCCCGAACACCATAGAGAAACGACAGCATTGGAAAAATTACCCATAGGAATGGTATCACAAGTGGGACTGGATTATATGCATTTAGTTTGCCTGGGTGTTATGAAACGTCTGCTTCAGTTTTGGGTGAAAGGAAAATTAAATATCAGATTGAAGCCAAATAAATTGGAAGAAGCTTCCAGTAAACTAATATCGATGAGAGCCTATATTACTCTAGAATTTGCACGACAGCCAAGGAGTTTAAATGAAATTGATCGTTGGAAGGCGACAGAGTTTCGACAATTTCTGCTGTATACGGGGCCAATTGTAATGAATAATATATTGTCTGTGAAAACCTATAGACACTTTATGTGTTTAAGTGTAGCTATTAGAATATTGTGTGATGGTAATTCTGATACTGACTTGATAGATTATGCACATAACTTGCTTCTATATTTTGTACGAAAATATGGAAATATGTATGGATTACATTATCTATCATATAATGTACATAATTTGATACATTTAGCGCAAGATGTAAAGAGATTGGGACAGTTAGAAAATTTCAGTGGTTTTAAATTTGAGAATTACTTATATAACTTAAAAAGAAAGCTCCACATATCGGGTAGACCCCTTGAACAAATATGCAACAGAATTATAGAGGAAAAGAATCACAACAGAAATGTTTTACAAAAGTATCCTATTTTACATTCCAAGCTTAATGTAATTTACAAAGCAGAGTTTGAGTCGTTCACCCTAACTACGACTGCACCAAATAGTTATTGTATCCTTTATGACGGGAGAGTTGTAAATATTTTGAAAATATCTCAGAAAACTAATGTCTTATGTTTCACCGTGAACACATACAAAACTAATACATCTTTTTTTTCTGTTCCATGTAAATCAGAAAGTTTAGGCATTTTGTATGTAGCAGATGTGATGGAAGACACTTTTGAAATACCATTTTCTGATATAAAAAATAAATGTATGTGCCTTAAATATTTAGATGGATATGTTGTTATGCCATATTTGCATTAATTACCAATTGTAAAATTATGTTGTACATTTTATTAACCACTGTATAAATGTACCTATACTCTACTTACTAACACTTAATCACACCATTTCTATACTATCTATAGGAAGAAAATTATGTCTTTAAAAAAATTCGCAGTGGTGTATTTCGAAGAAAACGAATCTTTCTCCGAAATTCCATCCTCATGGTTAAACGAGGACATGAAATATTGCAAGTGGCCAAAATCGCTGAATCCCACAGCGTTAATGGTTAAGGGGATAGAACCCTCTGACACATGGGGGAATTATAAAGTTAGAGTTGAGAAGTTTTATGGTAAATTTTGTCAGATATTGCTTACATGTTTTAGTTATTACGCTCATTATAGATACGCTGGAAGCTGCACGAAAGCATGCTGGAACAGATTACACATCAAGTGAAGAGGTCGAAACTGGAAGGGGGAAAAGAAAAAAGACCAGTGTAACTAAATCAACGTCTACTGACGATGAAGAGTCTACTAAAGGTTCGTCAAAATTTTGTGATTACTTACATTAACGTTAAATCGTCCATTTTAGATAGTCCACCTCCAACTCTTAAGAAAAGGAGATCTTCGCCACGTTTCTCTAAGCGAGAAAACACACGCCAATCTTCTACGAATAACGGTAAGCTCTTTGTGCGACTTTTTAAAACGTACTAAGCAGAAGTCAACTTACTTTAGAGATTTTTGTACTTAACCCGTTATCACATTAACGTATCAATTTAACAAAGAACCGTTACTAAGAGTTGAGAATCTCCAAAAATTTATACTAAATTATTTCAGTTAATAATAATGAAAACTTGCTATCATCATCGCAAGAACATGGACAAAATGTACCGATGGCATCAAATACAGGCAGCATCATTGAATCTAATGAAGGTATTGTCATTATGATAATGATTACACTTCTTGAAACTAATGGTAGGATTATTCAAGGTGCAGACCAGATACGTCCACTAGACAATTCCATAGTGCTCGATTTTGGAAATTCCACGTTGCAGGAACTAATACATACTTGCGATCACAGACACGATTTTGGTATGTGAATATTTACAAATAGAAAAAAGTTATAAAAATAATTTATATTATGCTTCAGACAATATTCATACAAACATGAAAAAAATATTCGTGCAGATAAAATCTCTGGAATCCAGATTGGAACAATTGAACAATCAAAACCAAACAAACATTATATCAATAAACACAGAGGAGGTTCAGACAAAGCTCCCATTAAATACGCTAGAGGAATTAAGCACCTTGGAAAACATTGTGGCTGAGGAAGGGGAGTTTTCACATAAATTTGTGAGTTGTATAATTTACTCAACACTAAGGTTTTCATTCTTTTATTTTAGACCTCATACTTACAAACCATTGGCGGCAAAAATGCAAAAGACGCCCTAGTTAACATGCTTCGGAAAGTATTCACCAATAAATTAGCAGTAAGCTGCTCCTGGCATGGCCTTAGGGGGAATTTTAAATTATCAAATTTAAAATTTATGAACAGGATAATAGGTAAGATATTTGTTTAATATTTTTATTACTATCCGATGCCTATGTTAACAGCTGCTGAACAACGTATGTATAACAGCATCCAAGAGCACGAAATAATTACCATTATAAATGATTGGTTTCGTCAAGCTAGATTAAGAGAAACCAGGGAAAGAAATTAGCAGCCTAATAAATGTAATAATAATAAATGTTGCTTTTTTGTTTTTATTTTACCATATTGGTATCTTAGTTTTTTAATTATATCCCGTAAAATAAGAATTTCCTTGTTTAATAAGTGTGCTCATACATAAATAGTTCTTTGTAATAAATTATTTACTTTTTGCGTGACGTTCTAATTGAGGTAGTTAGTAAACCCTTACTTCAGGTATTTATCGTAGATATCTCGTCAGTTCATTTATACTTATACCAGAAACATGTCATTATACACATATACTTTATATCTATTAAGATATCTAGGTATATTGTATAGGTACTTAAAGAACGATGCCCATTTTAGATGTTAGGGGAGTCCATTAAACTCTAAAACACTGTGTTATATAACACTGATAGCTTATTTTATTCGAATTCGTCTTTTATTAATATTTCATCATTAGAAAAAAAACGTTTCTAAAAGCTGGCGTAGCTAGTACGTAATCATGGTAATAGAATCAAAAAAATTAGGTAGGTACGGAAAATTATTCAAAGATGTCTCATTCATGCGTCTATGGCCTGTCTTTAACACCTCATCCAAGTATCCGAGATGTCTCATTCACGGGCTTAGTGATGTACCAATAGCATTTCCGTGAAGTGGCTGAGACATAAAATAGATGATTCAAAGGTGTCTCATTCATGCGTCACTTGGTGCGCCATGTATGACTCAGCAAAGTATCAGAGAGGTCCCATGCATGTGTCGAGTAATGTGGCATAGATGTGTCAGGTAAGTCTCGGAGACGATACAAACCACGTTTCATTAAGGTGTCAGGAACGTCTCTGTACATCTCTGGGATGGCTCAAATGCGCGTGTCTGAAACCGGCGTTTTGTATTACATGTAACGTAAATGTACACTACATGACACATCTCTGAAAGCTATCACATCTCAGTTGGGATGTATCAATTACATCACTGAAAAGTCTCCGTGTTTACTGGGTATGTATAATATTGTGACCCTCACTTATTCAACTGCTCCTTAGATACAGCCACCAAAGATTTCTCGTTCAAACGCAAGTGATAACATCAAATACCTTAATACAATGGTGAACATTGCCACTGTTTTAGGTGCTAAAAGAAGGGTGGCCAAAAGAGAACTTAATGAATCATTAAACTTCGAGCTCAATTTAAGTACGGTAATGTGTAGAGCGATACAGTGTTAAATGCATCGGTTTAATTTTAACTATACATTTAGATGGCAAACCAATTTCGAGAACTGAGAAATTTTAGCTTATTGTACCATCGCATGTCTGTATCAGAACTACAACAAAAAGTTCCTAATATTCCTTGGTTGGAGTACTTGAATTCAGTATTAAACGTACCCACAATTACCATTAAAGCATCTGATGTAATCATAGCAGCACCTCCTATCTATTTCTCAGAGTTAGAGAAATTGCTCCTCAATACACCAAAAAGGTTTAATAAATATATCACCTATGAAACAAAATTGAAGCTTTTTTTTTAGAGTACAGGCAAACTATCTTATGTGGAAAACTGTCGAATTTTCGCTACCTTACCTTACAGAGAAGTTGCTGCACAGTTCAACTACCGGTTGGAAGAAATGTGTCAGTTTAACTGTAAAGAGGTTAGTAGCGACATTCAGCCCTGTGATGTATCAGAAACGTCAAACTTAACCTGCATATTATCTGCCAAAAAACGTTAAATTGCGTTATTTAGTATAGGGAAAATGAGATTTTTGACAGATAACTTGCGCGTTAAGATAGCGGGTAGTTTATACGGGATAGTAAATTGCGATAGTACTTCTGAGAATAACTTGCGCTAACGTTTACATATAAGCAAGTTGTAAAAAGCACTTTCTCTCAGCAAGTACTCTCATAAACCTTTCAGCTAAAAATTTTAATGTGTTTTGTTTCTTGAGTCTGTCTGTTTTGATTTGACTTGCCACAACTCCGGAAATTCTTCAAAAGTATTAATTAAAGAAGACGTGCCTTCTTTTGACCACCCACGTTTTGCCTCCATGCAGCGCAGCACTTGCGTACAACTTTGAACAAGATTGAAATAAATGTCAACGTTCTGTCAAAACTGTGTTTAAACGTGCAAGATTTTATTGCAGCAATTACTTCTTGGCAAATTTTCGACTTGCTGGGAGAGAGCCCTGTATCACTGTTTACATTATGACACAAACTTGTGAGAGTTTTACTATCCCGTGTAAATTACGCTTTGTGATATATCACAGGGTTGAATGTTTAAATAAAGGGTGTTAATGACCGCATGTTAAAAAAATGGGCGGTAGAAGGGATCAGGGCAAGCACTTTTTCCAAATAAACAGAGGGTCCAACGTGTTTCGTTTGGGAGCCACCCCACGAAATTCGGTATTTGGGGTTTTTGAACATGGAAATCACGAATCTGGAATTAGTTTTTGAAAATTCGAAAAAAAAGTTCCACTGCAATTCTTGGCCAGACAACGAAAATGAAAAGAATTCCACGAAATTTGTTGTGTACATACTTGAGGGGGAACAAAATTTTTGTAACTCTTATGGTTGCTGAGAAAAAAATTAAAGAGAAATCCAAATTTCACCACTTCTTTGGGGGTGGCTCCCAAACGAAACACGTTGGACCCTTGGTTTATTTGGAAAAAATGCTTGTCCTGATCCCCTCTACCACCCATTTTTTTTTACATGCAGTCATGTAACACCCTGTATAACCTTAACGTAATTACAATCAGTATGCCAATTGCCACCTGGGCTTTGTATGTTCGGAAACATTTCAACGAAAATGCCAAGCAAGACGTTATGGAAATGGTTTCCGACATCAGAAAAGTGTTTGTAAATATAGTAAAAAGGGCCGACTGGATGGATGTCGAAACAAAAAAATATGCTTTAGAAAAAGCCGAAGCTATGTCGTCTTACATTGCGTATCCAGACGAATTTCTCTCAGATGAAACATTGGAAGACTTTTATAAGGAGGTTGACATTAGAGTGCGCGTATGATTTTATGAATTAGTTTTAGTTGCATGTGGAATCCGACAACTTCCTAAAAATAATGCTGAGCACTAATCTCTTTGGTTATGAGAGTACAGCCAAACGTTTAGCACTGCCTGTGAATCAAACCGATTGGGTTAAATCCGGACAATCCGCTGGCGTTAATGCATACTACAATGTACTATCGAATAGAATAAGTAAGTTAAACTGCTTGCTGTAATGCACGTTGAAGTATTATTAAATTTACAGTACTGCCTGCCCCAATATTGCAAGGCGTATTTTTCAGTGATGATAGACCATGGTATATGAACTATGGGGGAATAGGATTGCTAATCTCTCACGAAATTGTTCATGGATTCGACAATAAAGGCCGACAATTTGACAAATTTGGAAATTTGGATGATTGGTGGACACCTTCCACAAACGAAAAGTTTATAACAAAGGCCCAGTGCATAATTGATCAGTATGGAAACCAGTCCATACCCGAATTGGGATTAAATGTATGTTGGCAGAAAAGCTGCATTCTTTTAGTATTTTTAACTTTCTAGGTAAATGGGTTTAAGACGCAAGGAGAAAATATAGCAGACAACGGCGGTATAAGAAATGCATATTTAGCATATAATGAATGGATTCGGCGTAATGGAAGGGAACGACTTCTTCCCGGGCTGAATTATACTGATCGCCAATTATTTTGGATTTCGGCTGCAAATATTGGGTGTATAAAGATGGAACCTGCTGTTGCGAAGATGCTAATCCGCATAGACACTCATTCTCCCGCCAAATTTAGAATAAATCTACCTCTTAGTAATACGGATTATTTTGCTAAAGATTTTAATTGCCGGATAGGAAGCAAAATGAACCCCGATAAAAAGTGCGAGGTTTGGAAATGATTCGAAGTTTTTTTTTGGCGATGAATCAATTCTAGAGTTTGTTTATACAATTCCTTTTATCAATTATCTATATGTTGTTTGCTTTCTTTCTTACAGTAAGAGAGCGAATAAGAAAATGATTATTATGTTATTTAATACTTATTAAAATAGTTTTATGTATAATTAGATTATTTGTGCTTTATTATCCAACTGGATATGCCACATGCGTTTGTCATTCAAAAAAGGGGAGTTGGACGACGCTTTAGGTTATGGTAAAATTATTCCTGTAAGCCTCTTTTTTTAAAACATAGATTCTTAGCCTTATGGATTTCCATCTTAGAGGTCCTACCGTTCGTTCATAATAACATCCTTCACTTACTTACCGGTACTATTCAGGTCACATCTTAATTAACTGTTGAATCAAATTCTAACAGCTTAGGTACTTACAAACTGGAAACCAGGAAATTTTGTCTCAATATCTGTTCAAATTCAGTTAAAATCAAATAAAAGTTATGTGGGAGAAGTAAACTTATTCCCCCCTTACTATCTTTTCCAAAAGTGGTCACTTTGGTTTCGATGATGCGCGTAACGCGAGCAATTGTTATAACGTCGATAAAAAATAATATCGTACGACTTTAGTAACGAAAGTTAATAGAAAACCAGGAATAAAGGTGTCTACCAGAGAGCTCACGAAGAAAAGGAATTCAAATTAAAAGTTAAGTGACAATTCCCCACGCGGGTGGCATGGGTGACTGAAAAGCTCTTGTTCCTTGTTCTGTTCCCCTTAAAAAATACTATGCAGAATTAAAATTTTGGAGTCGAGTATTTGGCGTGTATGGATTTATTGTGTGCTTGTGCAATATTCATGAAGTCCCCTTGTGGGTTCGAGGGTGAAATTGGTCCTGGATATCGTAAAGAGAAGAGAAGTGGGAGATCAGTCTCTTTTCACACTCAAATCTCTTTCTATAATATTACCGTGCATAAAAGTCGTGTTTTTCTATACTTTCCACGAAACTTTCCACACGTTTTCAGTGATATTTTTAAATATTAAATTAAATTAAAAATGTTTGTACCACCGCTCGGTTAAGGTGTGTTGCCCTGGGTA